TTTTAAATACAAATATATTTTTTAAAAATATATTGAGAGGGTCCAGTCCCTTAGGTTTGCCCCCTGCTGGGCACTCAGAGCCTTCTGCATGTGAGTGGGCAAGATGGTCAGAGCGTGGAGAAGCGTCTTGGACTCCGTGATGCAAGACCCCCATGCGCTGTGGTGACAAAGGCCACCAGGGCCACTGGGGCCACCCTGAAGGGGCGACAGTCCGATGGAGAGGTGGCGGGAGGCAAGAGTTGATGAGGTTAAGGTGGAAGTGCAGATGAAAGCTGGAGTGTTTAAGCAGGCTGTGTTGCCCTCGCTGGTTTGACTCAGTAGAGAGCGTCGGCCTGTGGACTGAAGGGTCCCAGGTTCGATTCCGGTCAAGGGCACATGCCTGGGTTGCGGGCTTGATCCCCAGTGGAGGGCATGCAGGAGACAGTCGCTCACCATTGATGTTTCTATCTCTCTCTCCCTCTCCCTTCCTCTCTGAAATCAACAAAAATATATTTTAAAAAATTAAAAAGTAAAACAAGTGCCGTGAAGTAAAAGGCTGACAGATCTGCCGTCAGGCCACGTTAACTGGACATCACAGGTGCTAACCTAACGCCGCCCGAGTCCACGCAGCCAGCCTCGGGCGCACAGGCTGGCACGGAGCAGACGCCTGGGGCACCCCCCGCCTGGCTGCTGAGACTTTGGACTAGAAAATGGCTACCGGAGAGGCCGTGGCTAGCCTGCTATCAGACAATGGAAACCACCCCTGCGACTGAAAGACGTAAGGTCACCTTGAAACCTGAAATGCCCATAATACCTCGGGCGACCTGCTCCATAGGGAGGGGCCCGGAAGAGACCGTAATGAGATGCATGGTCGTGCAGGGGCGAGCTCCTAGGGGGTGGGGAGCATCGCGGTCCCTTCAGCAGCAGGTGCTCTTCCCCTGGGCCTGACTGTGGAACCACCAGGGGCTGCCGGACCCCACTGCCCTTCACTTGAATAGTGTGCCCTCTCCCAGCTCTCAGCGGGCTGGCAGAGCTGCTGGCTGTGGACGGCAGTGGCCAGGGGAGCAAGGAGCTGCTGGCTGTGGACAGCAGTGGCCAGGGGAGCTGGGAGCTGCTGGCTGTGGACAGCAGTGACCAGGGGAGCAGGGAGCTGCTGGCTGTGGACGGCAGTGGCCAGGGGAGCCGGGAGCTGCTGGCTGTGGACGGCAGTGGCCAGGGGAGCAGCGAGCTCACTGCTTGCGAGGCTGCCACGCTGGTTAAAGATGATAAAACCCAATCTGCTTAGGGAGCTGAATGACATCCTGGTGGCCACTGTGTTGGGTTTGACTGACCTTAGTCAGTGGCTATGGCCTGGCCACAGGGTCCGGCAGAAGGTCAATGGAAACTTGGTCTATAAAAGCAACGCCCCATGTGGCACAGTCCCATGGAATCGTCATGGGACCTGAGGGCTGCATTAAAGCAGAAGACATGGATGCCCATCAGAAGAGCCCCTTCCTTCATCAGAAGGTACCGGCGCCAGCCAGTCGGTATCAGAGTCCTCGTGTGAGATGGCCACTTGGGTTCCTAAACCAATGGACACTGGGAGGCTACAGCAATGCAGAGGTGGCTGGATCTAGAAGATTCCACGTGCACTCGCTGAAGCACCAAATGCTAACAAGAATGGTCTGTCTGCCAACAAGAGGGACGCCTGCAGACGCTGTCAGCAGACTCCTGGGGGAAGGACATGCGTACAGTCGGCAACGGACTGATGTGGGAGACTCAGAAGCCACAAACAGGGCCCGACAGGAACGACACCTCCTCCGGACTGGCCTCAAATGCCCAGTGGTAGATACAGATGCTCAAAATATTCTAAAAGGACCAGAACAAGAGATAGTGCAACGATTTGGACCCCAGAGTTACATTTCTTCAGACCAAGGAACACACTTTCATTCTCCGCACAATGATTTGATAGACATTTGGAATGAGCAACTAAAACAAAGGTTGTCTAAAGCAGGGAGAATGTAGGTCTCAAGGACTGGCTCACCACCTTCACAAGTGTGAGTCACTCAGCACGAGGGGTCAGGGGAGGGCCCTAACCAAACAGATCCCTCTGCTCAGTTAACGAGGGAACCTGGGACACAGCGTGGAGAGGGTGTGGGCATAACTCCACAATTCTTCCCACGAGAGGAAGAGGATGGTATAACTACACTTTTTTCTTTCTTCCCACATCACTTCGACTTTACTTTTCCTCCCTGACGTACTTTTCCTACTGAGTGTGGGACCCCAGTAACGTGCCAACACTCCTGACTCCTTTCCATGCAATACGGTAAACACTAACCAATGTTGTTGGTTAAATTATTTTTCAATTACAGTTGACATACAATATTATATTCATTTGAGGTGTACAAGCCAGTGATGAGACATTACATAACTTAGTAAGTGATCACCCCAAAAAATCTATT